CTCAGACCTGCAGCTCGCAAATTAAGGGCGTGGCCTGGCAAATGGTAAACACTTATCGAGTTTATGAATACATTATCCGACAATGGCTTGCACTATCGGTGAATATGAAACGGGGCACACTTTCGTCGAGAGACCATTTCGTCGAAAGACCATTTCGTCGAATGACCAATTGCAACTTCAACATAGTTATTAGGCTGATATTCAATTTTATAGGTTTTCGCAAAATGTTTGATAATGTTCCACAAAACCTTATAATTCACAAACTTATGATATTTGCGACTTCACGTTCGCACATCCGGTTCACACGCCGTTAGACTACTAGTATTGTTTAGAATCAACAACTGACATATTTAGGGTGGAGATTATAAGCACATATTTCAGGAATTTGATAAATAGATTGTTTACTTATTGTATTTAATAGTGGCAACTTTGCAAGGCTTTAAAAGGGGAACCTTGCAAGCCCAGGGATTGCACCAAAGAATCACGGGACACTATTGTTTATGTTATTTACAAAGTTAATCTATCTTTTGTTATCCATTGTAATTTTAATCCAGAAAGTAAGTTTGTTGTGAGATTAGGCTTAACTGGAAGTGCCCCTTAACCGTGAGACACACCCCTGGTAATCACGTGATCGTGTCAACGACTGCAGCGATTGGCTGATCGCATGTTTACTCTGCCACGCCTTAGAGACTTGACTTTTCATATAAGGAGTTTATAACCTTTATTAAGAGAAGGAAGATGAAAAAATAAAGCTGGAATATCTGGGGACTAATGAACTAATGTGTGTTCATTTGGGTCGAATCTGATATCTCTACGCGTAAGCGGCATCAGCTAAGCGAGACGAAGTTCCCGTTCCCGAACCACATTCAGGGACCTTTACTGATGACTGGAGTATCTTGTTGGGAATGGCATATATTGCTAGGTAATGTAATGTTGTCAAATTCTGACAAAAATAGGACATCAGAAACGGTGCATACTCAACAAATAAAGTGAATTTAGCGGAAAGGGTAAATCGCTATGAAGACTCGGGCAAAAGGGCACTAGGGGGGAAATAACCCGGAAACAATTTGTCATTGGATGAACATATTATGGGGGAAATAAAAAACGTTTTCGTAGAACGTTTGGCAATCAAACAAATTGCTGTATATTTCCCTCGTTCGATCGTTTGAAATATGGGAGACAAGTTTGGTCGTTTCTGAACCAAGAAGGCCCTGGAGTCCCCCGAGTTGGTTCAGAGACAGGCAATTAAGTATATATGTAAGAACAGTAATTATTATAAGGAGCGTTTAGGCTACAAACCATGTGGTTTGTAATTCCATGATGTGGGTCATGCGTGACGAAAGTTTCGGGATAAGATTACCGTACACCGTACGATACCACGTGGTACGATACACTCGTACAGGGCTCATATCACTAATTGAATTTCCATAGACGACAATGTTAACATATGACGAGATTGCTATATGAAAATGACGAAGAAAGTTGAAAATATGGCTCAAAAATGGGAAATCAACGTGCCAGTAATCAACCATATGAAAAAAACTAACATGTTGGCCAGCTCAAACTCTTGCAAATCTCAGGTAAACAAGACACACCTACTGTATTTGGATTGCACCAAGAGAAATCACTGGAAAAACACCAAGTTTAGAACATCCATTAACACACAGAATAAACCCACAGGTACACAGCCGCTAAGTAGTAAACAAAAGACCACATGT